CCCCCCCCTCCTCCCCTCCTCTGCCATACATCATGAATGCAGCCTTAGCATTAGCTATTATATTGTTCACCATAGTTAGAATAAGATAAATTTGGTCATGAGAAAATGCCTATTTTATTTAATGACATAGGTCGTGGTAAGAAGCCAAGAAACAAGACGCAATGTTAGAGATGAAAGAATAAGAAGTTATTTTTATGGACAGCAGGGAAATCTTTATCCTCACTCCTTTGAAGTAAAGTTTGCTGATGTTAAACTTTTTAAGATTGGAGGTCAGTCTCTGTTGGATTTTTAAAAAAATTAAAAATTAGTTTTTGTTATCTAACTGTGACTTTGGTAATCACAATCCAGTTATCCTGAATATATTATAACATGATTGTCGCAAGACCAAAGAAATGTGGCTTATTCCCCTATTGGGCACTCTTAGTCCCAATGGGATTAATGAATGCTTAAAATTGCTTTCAACTATTCCTTTCTTTTGTCTTTTGATTGTTTGTTTTTGTTTCCTTGCCTACCTTGTTCTCATTGGTTTCTTTTGTCTTATTCTATCATATAAACACTCCTTTCTACCCCCTCTTTTTCTTTTACTCCGACGAAGGACTAGCGTCCGAAACGTCAGTATAATTCACGGTGTATAATTTACCTTTTTATCATTACTGTTTCATTAGAAACACCGACGCAGCTCACACTAGTTTTTAGCTAGTTATATCTGCTGAATATATTATAATTTGTTTTTTTCAGCCCCTGTTGTTCCAGATTCATGTTTGCCTCTTGGGATGGCACAAGATGATAACCAGACAAAGCTAGTTGCTGTTGTACCAAGTATGTATTAATAGCACTTAGTTACATTTATTTAATTATATTAAAACATAATGCCTGGTAATTTGCTGGTAATTAGTTTTAGCTTGGTCATACCTCCTTTGTGGCCCAAAATTACTGGCGGGGCAAATGTCAGACATTAAGTTCCAAATCTGGCTGATTTTCCAATGACTGCCCATTTTTAGCACTGTTATATATTGTGTAGTTCCAGAAATTATCCATACCCTATCGTATGATTTTTTTTGATATTTTAACGTATTTATTCTCATATTAACCCCAAGAGCGGAAGCTTATCAAGGGGGTCTATATTCAATATTGAAAAAAATATTGAAAAACAAAATTGCATATTATGTGAATTTCAATCTCATGTGTAGGGCTTTCTATTTTTAGTAACAGTATGTGATTATCTTAGACAACCTGCAGTCTTTATAGAGCTACATATGATGCATTCTGATTGGATGACCTACCACTAGGCTATAAGTTACTACGGATCTCACCGAACTGTGGCGACACGTCAAAAATTTGCTCGCTTCCACGCCTTAATTCGTCTACTGACACGCCTACTTTTGTTACAGCAGTCAGCGTTCCATCTTTCATGTATTACAGTGCACAGTAAAGATGGAACGCCGACTGCTGTAACAAAAGTAGGCGTGTCAGTGGACAATTAGGGTGTGGAAGCGAGACAAATTTTTGACGTGTCGCCACAGTTCGGTGAGATCCGTAGTATATAGTAGTGAAAAGTGCGGGCTCTGAAGACCCCCAAAACTTTAACTTTAAGATTTCAACTGATTGTTTGCATCTCTCTATATATTTGACTGACTAGTTGGATTTGACTAAAGCAATTAGTTCTCTCACTCTCATGGCCTATGAGTCAATAGCCCATTCTGGCTTGAAGACTAATGGCTAATTATTAATTCTAAATAATCTTTCTATAGGTCATGATTTAAAACACTGTGTACTGGCAGTAAGTGCTGCAGAATCTTTGAATGAGGACCTTGTAACTACAAATGTAGTAGGATTCCTTGTCGTGTAAGTATAGTCTACACTTCCTATTATAACATGCAGCAAATCTTCTTGGATAAGGACGTTACACTGTAGATCCCTTTTGTCTTCACTTACTGCTGACCTGTATGTGGTGGACGTTAAAGAATCCATTGTGCTGTACGCAGGGGCAGATCCAGGATTTTTAAAAGGGGGTGACGATTATAGGGTTCGTGGTACTCCTTAAACTCCTTGAAAACTCCTTGAATTTAATTCACGTTTTCAAGGGCACTTGAAAAGCTCTTGAATTTTATGATTTTAGCGAAACTCCTTGAAAACTCATTACTTGCATGGTTGTGAAATAGATCTAGTCAAAATCTGAAAGTCGGCCATGTGCAACCACCATGTAAAACCTTGGCATATTTAGCTGAACATACTCCTTGAAAATTCATTTTTGGGTCCTTGTATACTCCTTGAATAGTCCTTGAATTTTAAGTGGTTACTTCAGTACGAACCCCGAGGATTCCTCGTACCATTACCACAGGAAACCCATAAATGATGGGAAAATGGTGGAAATATGGCGTTTCAAATTGGCTGAAATTAAATTTGAAAGCTTAATAAGTAAACTGAGAGAAAGCTTGTCCAGATAAAAACTATTGTTTTCAGTGTAATTGGAAAGGTCTGTTTTGTTATTGAGGGGAAGGGCTTGGGATTCTGAGGGAGAGGGTCATCATAAGTAATTTGTGCAAGATCCCTGGATCTGCCCCTGTTGCAAGAGTAGGGGTTGTAACCCAGCACAACAGTCTGGTCTTGGAAGCACACTGCTAACCCTACTCAACGCTGATCCAGTTGTCTTGCGACAGTGAAGCAAACTGCTGCAAGATTGCAAGATAAGCCAAAAGGATGAATTATGTTAAAATATTAAACTTAGTACCATAAATCTAATTTGGCTCGGTTTTGTTTTGTTTTATTTGTCCAGAAACAATGTGGATCTTGATCGACAAGTCATGGTTGTATTGTCTCCAGCTCCAAGACCTCTTCCCAGGAAATTTCTCATTCAAAGTGAAGTGAGATTTATGGACTTCAAGTAACTCAAGAGATGTCAACGTTGCAGAAACGATTGTTTGATCACTCAGGCAGCTGATCAAGACAGCCTTATCTAAACCTCCCTGTTAGCTGCTGGTCAAGCCAGCCTAATCTTCACATCCCTCACTTGAACTTGTGCTTCATATAGTATTATTACTTTTTAACTAATTTTCTTTTTTTATATAATTTTATTGCAAGACTTTTTTGTATAATATACAGTCGAACCTCTATTAAGCGGCACTCTATTAAGCGGTCACCCTCTATTCAACGGTCACTTACTAAAGTCCCGAATTTTCTCTCTCATGTATACTGTAAACTTGACCCCTATTAAGCGGTCACCTCTATTAAGCGGACGTGGTCACCATATCAACGTACCAATTTGTAA